GACTCTTTTAAAACAAGTAGACATGGGCAAACAACTCTTTTTATAACTTAAGTTTGACATGTGACACGATTCATCTTCTTCTTGCCTAGACCCCCACACACCTCTCTTTTGAAGTCATTCGTGAGTATCTTGGCGCGTTTCACAGCCCACACAACCGGGGATCTTCCGGACACACCCAACGATACACCTCGCCATGCCCCCCTGACCCAATATGGTTTGCCTCTGCCCAGTTGTCCGTTGCCTTGACTACCACTTCTAAGGGGTATCGCTGGCACATGAGTGATTGGGTTGGCACCGATGATTCTCCAACGCCTGTGGGGAGGCTTGATGGCTCACGTGCTGGCAATGGGTGTGCATGCATGGAGGCAACCAAGCATATGAGCATGGGGCATGGGTGGGCATGAGCAACCATGCTTAAGGGAGCAACTGGGTGACTGATTTCACTCCCTCCTTCCATGCTCCACCGCCTGTGGGGTGGCTTGATGGCTCACGTGCTGGCAATGGGTGGGCACGGTAGGATAGGAATCAAGCATACCGTGGTGTGAAAAACTTCTAAGAAATATGAAAAGTGACTCACGTGTTGAGCATAGGCTATGGGGATTGAGTTAAAGCTCGCGTCTCAAGACTCATATTTACAAGCGTTTAACACTTGGTTGGTTACGCACGTCCGTAATGGATTCTCCAGCTCGTCACAGATTTCGTCAATCGCCAACCAGTCACGGAGGCCCAAACCCAACCAAATGTTAAAACGGAGAAAATATGAGACGCGAGCTTTAAAGACATGGAAATCCGTGCTGAAAGGAACAACTACGATGCCTTGGTCACAGTTGCAAAGGAGAAGCACTGCCACATGAGGGCCAAGCTCGGCATGGCTGACCACTCCCGCCCCCTCTCCCCCTTTCCACTCTTTTTTACAGTCATTTCTGGAAAACGAGGGATAGGAACACGAGGTGGAAGGGTTGAGTTCAGTGCGCATGCTTGCATCCTATGACTTCTGAGAATGAATCTTGGGATCCTGTCAAAAACAAAAAGGCAAACATACACGTGCCTTTGAGGTTGCGGAATACGGCAACTTTTGAAGCGCCTCTAAAGGCAAAAATGCCATGAATTACCTTATATGCGGAACAAGCAAAACTACGCAGCTCCCAAAGAACACGAGCCTTCAAGAGGAGAGACAACTTCTAGCAGAAGGAAAGTAATGTTCTTGTAAATGTAGCTGTAGCTGTAGATGTAACTGTAGCACACATGTTCACAGAAACATCAACAGGAGGTAGAGATGAGCATCCGGCCCGGCCCGGCCCGACCCGACCCGACCCGACCCGACATGGGCGGGCCACACGAGCTCCCGGGTCTGGTCGGGTCAGGCCAACCTCGGGCCAGGGTGCTGAAGGTTCTGGCCCGACCCGGGCCTACACACTCGAGTCAACTTGGACCCCGTTACAGGTCGGGTCGGGCCGGGCCAGGATGACCCGCCCAGGATGGCCCCTAAGAACCTCTACGAAATGGTTCAATGTTAGCTGCTGGCGCACCTATGAGCAACTGCTAGCCTAAAACGAGGCGTGCAGCCTGTGAATTGAAGTATCGCTAGTAAAACGCGATGTTGTAAAAAAACGCCATTCCTGCATCGCGATTTTCCGTGTACAGCAGGATACGATAGTAAACTAGCTATAAAGTCTGTCAATGAGGTTTGAACAGGTGGTAACCAAGTAGCTTTTAAGCTTAGGTGACTTGCTTGCTGCCATTAGGCAAGATTGAGAGCGTGGGTAGGTTCTGATGTCGAGACGACAACAATTTGACCTAGGGTTTCGTCCCCAGTGTGTCGAAATCGGGTCGGGCCAAAAGCCCGGTTTCGTCCCTGGTCTTGACCCGAATTCGGGTCGGGTCAAGCCTGACCCGAAACCCGACCCGACTCGGCCCGAGTTCCATGCTCGGATCGGATTTTAGACCGGGTCGGGTCGGGTTGGCCCGCACGGGGCAGGCACATGAAACCACTGACCTGAACCGGGCTAAACCACGGGTCGGGTCGGGCCGGCAAATGCTCATCTCTAACAGGAGGATTGTGGTGTGGGGGACAGACGGAAACAAAGGTGAATAGAGGATATTCATGGCAATTAGGCTACCAGCCAGAACTTCACCTTGGGGGGACCTTCGCTTCCAGAGCAGAAACAGGCCAATAACGAGGAGGACAAAAACGAGTACGCCTCCAACAGCAATGCCAATGATCGCCCCTAGAGGCAGGGCGGACGAGGAGGAGGAGGAAGATGTATCTGTGGGGGAAGAGGAGGAGTGCTATTGGCAGGCAGGCGAGGGGAGGGGCTAGCAACAGGGGAGCCAGAGGAAGGGGCAGAGCTGTTGGAGCAGGAGGAGCAGAAGTCGGGGCAGTTGATGCAGAAGTGCGAGGAGGGGGTCTGGTACACAACACACGGCTGGCCTGCTCCTGGGCACACCATGCCACTCTCGTTGAGCCCTCTGGGGGGTGGGGGAAGGGAAGGAGGGAGACGGGGGAGGAAAGAAGCATCGATCAACGGAAGCGGGTGGGGTGCAGAACTAAGAGGAGAAGTTCTGCCACACCACACACGGCTGCCCGGCCCCTGAGCACACCGTTCCGCTCTCGTTGAGCTCACTGAGTAACCGAGGCAGGGAAGGACAGGGTGAGATGGGGAGAGGGATGGAGGGGGTCTGCCACACCACACACGGCTGCCTGGCTCCTGAGCACACCGTTCCGCTCTCGTTGAACTCACTGGGGGACAGGGGAGAGGGGTGAGGGGGAGGGGGGGGAGGGGGAGGGGAAAAGGTAGCGTTCACTTACACCCTCCCTTACACTCACACCCCCACCTTACACTCACCCACTCTCTCCCCTACACTCATGACCCCCTTACGCTCACACCACCTTCTCACACCTCCCATTACAATCACCCCCCTTTTACACTCACAGCGCCGTGAGGAGCAGGAGATTCCCGAGGGTGGGTGGAACGATGCCCGAGAGAGCATTGGTGGCGAAGCCTCTGGAGGGAGGTGGTGGGTGGCAGGTGATGGCAATAGGCATGGTGGGTGGTGATGGGACGGCAAAGGGGCATTTTGAGTGACATTAGAGAGCATCGGCGGCGATGCAGGGAGGTGGAGGGTGGTGGCAATAGTGCATGGCGGGAGGCAGGTGATGGGATGGCAATGAGGCATTAGGAGTGACATTGGAGAGCATTGGTGGCGAAACCCCTGCAGGGAGGTGGGGGGTGGTACTGTAATGCGTCGCATTACACTACCAACGTGGGATGGTACTGGCAATAAACCCGAGGAGTTTGAAGTAGGTATTAGTATTATTATGAAGTAACTCGAACAAGTTCGCACATTTACCCTAAACTCCATCAAAAGTTTGCACCTTTTCTAGAATATTCAAGGCAAGTAAAGAAAGGAGAATCCCGGAACCGTACAGGTATGTGAGATTTGTGAGGCTTCCGAATTGGGAGGGAATTTCTCCAGAAAACTGGTTATTGTCAAAGTTCCTGCACAACGGGGCAACATTCGCACTTTAAATGAATCTTTTGGTATTATGGGAATCTCTCCAAAAAAACTGTTTATTGCCAAAGTGCCTGCAACAGGGGAAGGAGGTTGGAGTGGAGATAATGTGACATATTGTCGTACTTCCCTCGCAACAGTACTCTAATAACAAGAAGCACCTACTTCACGGGAGTCACTGTGGAGAACTCTAAAAAATGCATAAAGTAGCCTTTATTCCGCAACAAGGCTTGCGATGGAAATGTTAACCTACACTTGCTTGAATTCAGCAGCCATTATTTCTAATAGGCCTGTCAATTTTGATTCGGACGATCTAATGGCGGCTCAGGAAACCAACCTCTCAGTGAACTCAACATGCCATCACAGCACAATCTTAAGATTGTGCAGCAAGTACCGTAAGAAGATGCCATACGATCTTGACCATAAGGCACGTGAAATGAGAGCGTTTTTAAATGTCTCAAAAGAAGCGTAAGATGTGATAAGTGCATGATCGTAAGGTGCCTCAAGAAACGTAATGTACCATCAAAGCGGAACATACAGCACGTCGAGTTTGGTGAGGGTGGCGAAGAATGAAGGGATGGTGCCACGGAACATGTTTCGGGCGAAGTCCCTGGGGTTATGGGATGGTGGGAGGCGTGGTGGGAGGGGAGGGATGGTGGGAGGGATGGTGGAGGGGTGGATGGTGGGAGGGATGGCGGGAGGGGTGGATGGTGGGAGGGATGGCTTTTGAATGACAAAGGAAGGCATGGTGAGACAACGGAAGTCACTGGGGAGGAGCAGAGACAATGGAAGGGATTGTGAGAGACCCTCTCAAGGAAGTAGTGGTGAGCGACTTTCCTGAGAACCACACCACACCACACCGCACCACACCGCACTGCATAACATCACACAACACAGACACCACACCACACCGCACGGCACCGCACTGCACCACACCATAACAATCTGCAGGCATACATGTAAGAGAGTTTTTGAGCAAGGAGAGGGTTTCTGGGATGCTTCCCGTGAAATGGTTGTATTGAAGCACACTAATGGAGCGAAATGATAGGTGTGGTGGGGTATGAAGGGGTGTAAGGGGGTATGAAGGGGAGCGATGGGGTATGAACGGGAGGGTGGGGTACGCGGAAAAGTGGGACAGAGAAGTGTTTTATGAAAACAAGTCTAGCACGGGGAGCAGAAATGAGTCTTTGAGTTCATGGCCTGTGTTTCAAGCTCATAATGGAGTAGCAGCAAACCTGAAGTAAACGTTTAAGCAACAAAGGAACGCTTTTGAGTTTGTGGCCTTCATTTTTGCATGGACGTCTTTTCAAGTCGTGTGACGATTCTTGCATGGGGAGCAACGTTGACAAGAATCCTAGAGTCACATTCTGCTATTGAGGCATCTACTTTTGAGACGCCCCACAGTAATACTATAGTCAGATTCTGCTACTGAGGCGAGGCGCCTCAGAAGTTAGCTTCTTACACGGTCTGCAAGTAGGTGAGCCTGCCAAACTCCACAGGGATAAAACCTGAAAACATGTTGTAGGCAAGGTTGCTGCAGGGATGGAGAGGTTGAGAACAAAGAGCGAGAAGAGACTGAGAAGAAAGTGAAAAACCGCAGGTACAGAGGGAGCCAATGCAATGCAACCTGTAGGCATGGAATGGAACTTGAGATCTTGTTGTAAGCAAGGTTGCTGCAGGGAGGGGATAAGAGGGGGTAGAGAGAACAGAGAGAAGAGTGAGAGGAGAGAGAAGAGTGAGAAGAGTGAGAAGAGAGAGAATGCGCCTGAGATTACAAAGATGGAAAGAGATAGATTCTGTAGGCGAGGCGAATGCACCCTGGCACTCCCAGCGTAAGAAATAATCCCAATCTCCAGCTGGGTGAATGAACCCAGCATTTAAGGCGCCTCAGAAGTCATCTCTCTACCCGCAATAATCCCAATGTCCCAGCGTACGACACTGCTAGCTAATGGTCGCTACTGCTTACACAACCACCAAGCTGCTGAGGGCTGCCACTGCTGGAAGGATTTCCCCCTCGAATTTGTTGTTTCCACCTAGATTGCTGCGCCCGAGGGGGAGAACAGGAATGAGTCAATAAAGGTCAACACACGTCTACAGAGGTCAACAGAGGTCAATGCTGGTCAGCAGAGGCCAATAATGGTCAGCAGAGGTCCACGCAGAGGCAGCGGGGTCAATACCGGGCAGCAGAGGTCAACACAGGGCAGCAGCAAATGTCAACGCAAGTCCACACTGAATATTTTTCAACAGGTGAGCGAGACAGTGAAGGAACTACTCTATTGCTTATACGCTGCAGACGTATTCCTGGCATACAATGCTTGGAGCTTTCGAGAGGCGAGGGTAAGACCCTATTACTGACATACTCGTCAACAGCAGCTATTGCTTGCAGTGGAGGCTGTTGACTACTCTACTCTACTCCGACTTCTATTACGTATTTTTAGCATACAACGCTTGAAGACTCGAGAGGCGAGAGATGGATGAGGGAACCGATCCTTCGAAACTGTTGTAAAAGAGCGATCTGCACAAGCACAGGTCATGTCATGTCATGCCATGTCATGTCAGGCACAACAAGCCAGTCACAACACAAGCGAGCCAACCAAGCCAGTGACACGTAAGGCACATGTCGCTCACAATCACCCACATGTCCAGGGCTCAAAATGTCAGTCAGATGCAGCCCGCTTCGTACGGTCGGAACGGTTCTGTACCTTAAACTTTTAAATAAACTCTGGCCCATGAACTTGTTTCAGAACTCTGGCCACCCAAAAAATATGAAAAAGGCCGGATACCTTTGCGATGACGACCAGAAAGGGAAAGAGGGAAGAAAGGGCCAGCAAAGTTGTATCTAACCTGATAAATAAAGTCGCCTCACTGTGATCCCATAAATTGGCGCCCCTTGATTGAAGAGATTGTTAGCATAGGTGCATGGGTTGCTGAATCAAGTGTCGTCACCGTGGTCACATGGGTTGGTGCCTCCTTGGGTTCTACAAAAGAGATTGTCAGCATAGGTGACACGTACAGGAACGAGAGCTGAGTTAGTTTTGACACGCCAGTGGGGAAGCTTCCTGAGAATGCATTGTTCCCTAGGTCACTGATTGAGGGAGCAAGGGTGGTTTTGGTGCACGCAAGGGTTCCCAAGTCACAAATGTTGGTGAGGTGAGTGAAGTGGCTGGTTAATAATGAAAGTTGAAAGCAACGAAGGCTCTGGTATATGGTGGAGAGGAGAAGAGAAAATGTAGAACTGAAGTTATGTCTGTTGGGACAACTCGACGTCCACAACGAGGGAAGTGAGGCAAATCAACAATAAGTCTCATCTCTTGCTGTGTACTTCAATTCAAGGGTGGCTTCTTCCAGACACTCAAGGATGCTTGGTATTGGAATTTGGATTGAGCGTACTAGACAAGGCGGAAAGAAAGAGTGAAAGTGAGAGGGTGAGCGAAAGAGTTGGAAATGAGATGGAGGAGGGTGACGAACAGGAGAACCAGATTGGTGAGTGCACTCAAAGACAGGGTACTGCTCCGCTCATTTTGTTGGAGTATAGATCACTGCGATGAAGGGAGGAGGATGTTGATGAGAGGAGGGGGAAAGACACGTGATATAAGTGAGTTATAAATCACTGGTCGAGAAAGTAAAGCAGAAATGAGTACAGGGTTTTAAGGCGCGATAAGGAGCCGATGGCGGGAGGCAAAGCGCCCTCAATGAAGTTGGATGAGAGGCCGCTGCGAGCGGGAGGGCAAAGGAGGAAGAATGGGAGGAAGAGGGTCGGTGAGATTTGAGTTTCTTAGAGGTGCCTCAGAGGCCATTGGAAACAAGGCACCCTTTATTAAGTTGGATGCGAGGTCGCTGTGAGTGGGACAGGGAGAGGGAGAGGGAGGAGAGGGAGAGGAGGAGGAGGAGGAGATATGAGCTTTGAGTGTTTTGGAGGTGCCTCAGAGGCCGATGGTAGTACGAGGAAAGGCACACTGGCCAAGTTTGGATGAGAGGTCGCTGTGAGTGAGAGCGGGAGAGATGTCGAGAGGGAGGAGAAGGAGGGGGCAGGGAGGGAGGGGGGCAGGAAGGGAGGGAGGGAGGCAGGGAGGGAGGGAGGGAGGGAGGGAGGGAGGGAGGGAGGGAGGGAGGGAGGGAGGGAGAAGGGAGTGGGGCGGGGGGGGGGGGGTAGGGAAAGAAGGAGGGAGACATGCGCACGGTCTCTAGAGATAACCATTTAGTGGCAGTGCAGGCAGCAGGAACGCGTGCAGGACTTGATGGTTCAAAAACTCATCATTCTAGTAAGTGCAGAAATGTGTGCAGCCTCATCACAACATAACAATTCAGTGGTGGTGCAGGCAGGAACGAGTACAGGACTTAAAAGGACTTTAAGGGTGGATAAAAAGGCGATGATAGATGAACGATTTATTATTTGAGACATCTCGAGCTGCATTTATTGTAACGCAATTTAGTGGCAGTGCAGAAAGGCGTACAGGCGTTGAAGATTGGATAAAGAACCGATGGTGGAAGGCAAGGCACCCTTTAGGTCGTTGTATGAGAGATCGCTGCGAGCAGGAGGAAGGGGAGGGAGAGACGGGGAGAGGGGAGAGATACGGTGGTGAAAGAGGGATGAGTTATAAGTTCCTCTAAGGTGCCTCAAGAGCCGATGGTGGAGGCAAGGCACCCTCTCAGCCGTTGTATGAGAGATTGCTGCGAGCGGGAGAAGGGGGAGGGAGAGATGAGGAGAGGCGAGAGATGCGGTGGTGAGAGAGGGAGAGATGGGGAGAAACATGGGATAGAGGGAGAAAGAGGGAGGGGGATAGAGGAGGACCACACTTCATGGCTAGGTTCACTGGTTGTAAAAACTCAATATTTGTGTGTTGTTTGATACATTGAGTTGGACATGGGAGAAGGTTTAGCGAGTTTGGCTTGGGACGATGTCGTGGAATCTATTTCTTGCTCCCAACCATTTTCACGCAACGAAAATTCTATATCCAAAAATCTCGGTAGGTTCACCATAAACCTGGCAGGCTGTTCCATCCTTCGGCTCGTGACAGACCAGCCACTTACTGGCCATTGTATGCTGATTTGGTAGGTTCACCCCTGGCTCATCATTATTTGGTCACATGTTGGTCATTGCTCATGCAATGCTCATGCATTGCTCATGCATTGCGCATGCTCATCTGTGCACATGCCCATCTCTACATGCTTCCACTCATGTGTGCATGCTCCCACTCATACTCACAGATAGCTCAGCCTGTCCAAGGCACTGATGTAATCTGGAATGGACCCGGTTAAGCCTTTGTTAGACAGATGTCTGGTGGGCAGTGGAATGGAATGGTTGGGAACATCATTAATCTTATGGTAAGTGCTTAGAGCGCTTTCTTTCAATATGAGCCACACAAGCATATTGGAGGGAAACGGAGAACAGAAAGGGGGGTTATTAAGTAGGTTAGACAGCATTAACACCTAGTATCACTTACAAATGTCTACCTTCCGTTTCAAATGGACCTTTCGGTTCTGCGGTGACATTTGGAAGGAGAGCATTCTCTGTCATAAATGGCGAGGGGAAGTGTGAATATCGTTCCCACACGCAGTCTTGCATGGGAAATCCGAGCATGTAGTAATCCCTCCAGCAAGCCCCAGCACATTCAGTACGATCCTTTCCACATGTCTCATATACTCCACTACTGCCTCCCTCATTCCACACACACATTTTTGCTACTTCTTCCTTAACAAACTCCAACAGAACCTCCTTTCGTGCATGAACCTGCTGCAGTTACCTG